CATAGGTAGATTTCAGGGGAGCTGTTCCATCAGACCCCAGGTACAGAGAGAGAGGGGAGTAGGAGGGTGGGCTGGCTCCCATGGAGAAGAGGAAGCATAAGGGCCTGCTTCTCTTGCTGGGGACAGGGGCACTTAGTGGAGCACTCATGAGCGAGCAGAGGCCACTGCTCTTGTGACTTTTATGCTCTGCTTTGTTTGGTTGGTTTTTGAGACAAGGTCTCACTATGTAGCCCAGGCTACCGTCAGACTTTCTATCCTCCTGCCTCAGTCTCCTGAGTGCCTACCTGTGTCCTTTGTTTTGTCATCCTTCGCTTTCTCCTTCCCTCTTTCTTCTCCACCTTGCCCTGACCCCAGCCCTGCTTTCCCAGTTAACGCAAACTAAGAGCCTACTTACTCCCTGTATTTTTATTAATCTGACATCATCCACATCTGTTACGATAAATCTTTCCGCCAAAAGCCGCCCAAGCCCTACCACCACGTGGGCAGTCAGTACATTCCCCATCACACATCTGTCTAAACAAATATCCCCTTAGTGGTTTTCCTTCAACCCACAAGAGTAAATAGTTTTTCCCTTCATTATTTGTTTCACGAAAATGGATCATATTATATACTGTGTTATGTGTTATGCCCTTCTCATCCAGTATTTCTTAGGACTCCCTCCATGCTGCTTGAGATGCAAGTCCAGTCTCCTAGTGGCTGCATAACATTCCACCATACAGATGAGCTGTAGTTGGTGCAGCCATTTTTCTGTAGGTGGTCATTCACTTCACTGCTGAGTCCTTGATTTCACAGATAATGGAATTGAGCATGCTTCCCTCTCCATGTATTGCCACACCGTTCCATGGGTGTGGAGAAAGCAAGGAAGGGAGTTGCTTAAGCAAAGGGTATGCACATGCGTTTTTTAGAGTGAAACCAGTGTTATAGACTGCTGACAGAAAGGTGCGAGCTCCCTGCAGTGAGTGGCCCCTCTCAGTTGGGCCTTCTGCAGCTGCAAAGTGCTCTCAAATTTGCCTATCAGCTTTTCTGCTTTGAGTTAGTGGTCCCCAGGAGAGCTGACCTCTATACATTTCTTCCCACAACTGATCCTCACCGAGACCTTGCGATGTGCGCCTTACTCCCTTTAATAATATGTTAGACAGGTTTGCTAACATGTTCAGGAGGCAGGATTTGAACCAGGTCCACATGACTTCAAGCTCTGCAAGCTCAGTAGGTATTAGTTACTTTTATTGTCTAATAAAAGCAACTCTGTGAAGGAAGGGTTTACTGTGGCTTGCTGTTTACGGTTAGAGTCAGTGTGTCAGGAAAGGCAGGTAGGCAGGAGGGTGAGGCAACTGGTCACACTACACCCACAGTTAGGAGAAGCAGGGAGAGGTGAGTGCTGGCTGGTGCCTAGCTCATCTTTCTTTCTCTCCCTCTTTCTAAGAGGACTTTAAATTTATATTAAAGTTTTTAAATTAGCCAAGCATAGAGGCACACATCTTTAATCCCAGCACTTAGGGGACAGAAGCAGGCGGATCTCTGAATTCCAGGTTTACATAATGAGTTACAGGCCAAACAGGGTTACATAGTGAGACTTTGTCTTAAAGAAATGTTTTTTTAGTTACATGAATGTGTGTCCCGGGGGTTGGGGGGCACTGTGTATGTGAGTGCAGGTGCCTGCAGAGACCATCACATCCCCTGTAGCTGGAGTCATAAACAGTTGTGAGCTACCCAGTTGTGTGCTCAGAACCAAACTGGGGTCCTCTCTAACACCTGCTTTCTCCTCTGTGTTCACTTGGGAGCACCTATCCTGGAATGATGCCACCCACATGTGGGGTGGATTTCTGTCCTCAGTTACCACAGAGTGGATGTGCCCCACAGACATGCCCAGAGGCTGTCTAGGAGATGCTGACAGTCAGCACTAATCATCACCCTGTACAAAACACAGTGATGACCCCTGTTCCTCCCTAGCTGAACTCAAACCCAGCCTCAGAGAACAAACACAGCACAAGGAGGCCCAGGAGGCTCTTTTCCTGGAGGCCATAGATGGCCACATTTCTTTGTGGTCAAGTACAGACCACCACACCTAGACCCTTGCTGGATGGTGAGGAAGGACAGGTGTTACACTTGCCCACCCTCCACCCCTACCCCATACTCCTATGCCCCACAGAGGTACATCTTCTTCAAAACGCCAAGGGAGGTGAAGCCCCCTGAGGACCTGCAGGACTTGGGTGTGCGCTTTCTGCAGCCCTTCGTTAACCTGCTGTCAAAGGGGACCTACTGGTGGATGAATGCCTTCATCAAGACAGCCCACAAGAAGCCCATCGACCTGCGGGCTATCGGCAAGCTGCCCATTGCCATGAGAGCCCTCACCAACTATCAGCGCCTCTGCGAGGCCTTCGATGCTCAAGCGGTCAGTGGGTCCAGCCATACCATCCAGCCAAGGATTTTGGAGGGCAGTGGGCCAAACCCCTGGGGTGGGAAAGAGGCTCACCCTCGGTGGCACAGGAGAGGACTAGGACCAAATATTCATAGGAAGGCCATGGCTGGAATGGCCCTTAAAGTTTTGGTCAGCATGTCCAAAATGCTCACTGGGGAAACTGAGGCTTGGGGAGGGATATGGCTTTATATGACTTCCCCATTCCCTGTGCTCTTCATTTTAAAGTATAGTGGTTGCCGTGATGGGGGTTTCCACCCAGTGTGGAGTGCAAGATGTTGCCCTGGTCCCTATACTGTTTCTGCAAATTTGGCCAGGATGAGGTCAGCTCTTACCAGGTCCTGAGGTCCTAAGAACTCCCATGCCCCACCCAGAGCTCTGAGCTCCCTGTACAGTGTTCCTTCCTTCACTGTGTCTGCTGGGTACTCAAAGAAACATTAAACCATGGTAATGAGCGAACATAGCAGGTGCCAATCCATCAAGATAGTGCTATGCTGATTATATGACCCTTTTCTGACACTGTGACTTGATATGCCTCTGGCCTCAGTTTCCCCATCTGACCTGCCCTGTCATACATTCATTGATACCATGATTTCCTACTGAAATTTGCCTGTCAATAGACAGCATTGCCACAGAGTTTCCCCAGGTAGCAGGGTTTAGGGGGGACAGAGGAGGGGCTCTCCATAGCTGAGCCCTCATCCATGCTGACCTGGCTGTGGGACTGTTGGCAGCGGAAGGACATGCAGAGCCCACAAGGTGCCCGGGCCATCTGGAGGGCTCTCTGCCATGCCTTTGGGAGACGCCTGATCCTCAGCAGCACATTCCGCATCCTGGCTGACCTGCTGGGCTTCGCTGGACCACTCTGTATCTTTGGGATTGTGGACCACCTGGGGAAGGAACACCACGTCTTCCAGCCCAAGGTGGGCCATCCTTGGGACAGGGCTAGGCACCCTCTAGAAGGTTTGCCCCACAACTGTCTTGTGCAGGTGTGCATGTGAGTTCGAGAGGCCATGTTAGCTGTGACTGGGTTGGGGGCTCTTCAGCAGTGTCTACTTCTGGAAAAGGTTCTGTGTCCAGTCAGCTGAAACACTAAGAAGAAAGCTTGAGCTCAGAAGATGCCACAACTAAAATGTTTCAGACAAGAGCCAATTTATGTGTGTGTGTGTGGGGTGTATATTATATGTATTACATACATAAAGCAGAAGGGAGCTATTAAGGCACAGGGGACCAACAAGAACAGGAAGGGGGCAGATGAGGGTGATGGGATGAATATGAGCAAATTATTATGATGTGTGATAATTTACAATGAAACCCATTTTTTGGTACATTAACTAATGTTAAAAGGGTTGAAGGAGCTGGAGAGTTGGGTCAGCAGTTAAGAATGCTTGTTGCTCTTGCAGAGAACCTGAGTTTGTTTCCCAGTATGCATGTTAGGTAGCTCACAACCATCTATAATTCCAGGGACACTTGTGTGTGTGTGCGCATGCATACACACACACACACACACACACACACACACACACAGTAAATATGAAAAGGGTGTCAGAAGCCTCTTCTAGGAGTGTTTTTTCTCCATTTGGGGCAACATTGTCCACTTTGAGGACTGAGGTGTTTGATGATTCTCTGCAGCCACTTGGGTAAAGGTGGCTGGCCATGGTGAGAAACTTGGTCCGCAGTGGGATGCTGCACTGTAAAATCCCAGTGACAAGACTATTACAACATTTCAAGCATGCCCAGGCTCTGGTGACACTGAGAGTTAGTAATTAGGGCTCCTGATAGCTTGTGGTGCCTGTATGTAATGATCGTTTGTCCCTGAGCACTGACCTTGCAGATAGCTTATAATCCTCTGGAGGTTCATATAGTTTTCTCCTAACGTAATTAGTCAGCTGAGCACTTCTGAGTTTGAAATCCCAGACAGGCCAAGTCTGCGGGTCTGACTTGCTCAGAATATGTTTACTGATCCTAATGTTTGCTGGCCCTGGGCAGGACTGTGGGGTCATGGAGACTCATGAGCAAGACCGTTAGCAACAGTGCCCACCCTGCCACCACAGGCTATGAGCAGGCATTTCCCATTTTCATGTTTAATCCCTAAAGGAACCCTTTGGGGTGGGCAATGGGGGTGGGCAGTGGGTATATGGAGATATAATTCCCAGGCCATGTAATTCATGGGGTAGACACTGTAACCCATTTACCTTAGTGCTGAGCCAGGTTAGGTAACTTTGCCCAGGGTCTCTCAGCCAGTTTCTAGCAGCATGAGGATTTGAACCCTGATGTCTGTCTTGCTCTGGACTCTAAAGCAGTGTCACTAAGGTGATTGAGTTTTATTATCATCATCACCCTGGCCCTAGGGCTGGGAAACCCCACGATAGAGAAATCCAAATGAAACATCTGTAGCTACATATGACTATGAAGAGGACACAAATGGACTGTGAAAGCCAGGTGTGGTGGCACACTCCTGTAATCCCAGTGTTCAGGAAGCTGAGGCAGTAAGGTGTCAGGAAGGCTGAGGCCGGCCTGTGCTATATAGCAAGACTCTGTCCCCTGAGAGAAGGGCATTTGAATAGGACCTCAAGATGAATTAGGTTAGCCAGGTAGAGATATTTCCTATGTGTTAGGAGCATTTGTTGTTCATTTGTTTGGCATATTTAGTTTTTGATACCTTTGGGGGCCTTTCTGGTTGTAAATATTTTTTCTTTTTTTTACTACTGTGTGTGTGTGTGTGTGTGTGTGTGTGTGTGTGTGTGTGTGTGTGTGTCTGTGTGTCTGTGTCTGCATGTCATGCATGTGGGGGTCAGAGGACAACTTGCTGAAATCAGCTCTCTTCTACCACATGAGTTCTCAAAGCCACCTCATTGGCTTCTTTCTCTGGCCTTTTGAGTCTCTGGTCTCTACCAGCAGCGAGGGAGAGATTATATTTTTTGCTTCCAGCAGTGGCATCTCCAGCTTTAGTCTGGCCATAGACAACCCCAGAATCCTCCACCTTTCCATTCCACATGTTAGGGGGAGATATCCCAGGCCAGAGCCCCCATCAGATTGGCAAACCATCTTCCTGTGTTTCCCCAAGCCCTTGGGGAATGTCTCCTAAGGAGAAAGCACCCACAGGGATGGTGAGAACAGCCCCAAGAAGGTTGTATCTCAGCCTGCCTCCCTGTCTCAGCCCTTGGGCTGGCAAGGATTTATTGCCTTATTGATGGAGTGCTCTTATCAGCACACAGATCCCTGAGACAGATGGCTCTGCCTCAGTGGCAGCAGGCATTATCAGATTTAATACTTGTTCCCTGCTGCCCAAATGCAATCAGCAAATTTCCGACATAGAAACAAGAATTGAGAGTAAACACAGGCCCTAGCCTCTGGAACATCTCGCTCTCCAGCCCAAGGTTGCCTCCTTTGGCTTAATTCTCACTGGCATCCTAGAGCCCAGAAAATGTGGAAAAAGCTCATTCAGTGCAGTCATTTGTCCTCTCACCTTGCCAGTGTTGTTGTGGTCTTTAGGTTTGGGGCAAGGAGGAAGCTAGCCACGGGGCTTCAGCCTGGCTGGATAAGGAAGCCCAGCCAATGTCCAGCCTGCCCAAGTCTGCAGAGCTGGTACCCACTGTTGACTGTCAGCAGCTGTCTGTCCTCTCTTCCCTTCTAGGACACACAATTGGCAAAGAACAAAGGGCCTTTGGCACCCAGAAAGATGAGCCGTGTTGATTTGCTCTTTCATCTGTAGCCCACAGTATCCATTCTGAAGCTCCTGGCCCTGCTGCCTCTCTTCCCAGAGAATCTGTGCTCTCCCCAGCATCTAATTCTTTCCAGCCCCACTCTCTTGCCCAACTCCTTCTCCAGTCTGTCACCTGTCAGGGATGCTACTGAACTGGCTGGAAGGCAATGGCATTGGAATCATAAAGAATGTCTGGTATCTGAAACCTCCCAGCACTACTCTGGGCTATCAGCTGAGCTGTAAAAAAAGCAGCTGGGGTTAAGTCCAAGGCCAAAGCTTTGACTCTTCTAGGCTACAGTGGAAAGGGTATGCAGGCTGGTTATGTGTGTTTCCAAACAAATTTTGAAAAAAAAAAAGGTTGATAGTTCTGTGTGTAATATCCTCTTGATTTCTCTTTCCTCCTCCTCTTCCTCTCCTTATTCTTCCTCTCCTTTTCTCTCCCCTCCCTTCTCACTGGGTGGCCAGATTTGCTGCTCTCACTCTTGGTGACATAATGATGGTTGATATTTTGCTGTTTCTGTGGTTTAGGATGCCAGTGTGTCAGTGGCCTCTCACAGACTGCCTGAGGTGGCTGCTTTCAAGTCACTGACTCCTCAGCTTTGTGTATCCTCAAGGAGGTCCTCCTAGTTGTGTTAGACACCTTTCATCTCTGCTCCCACATGAAAGCCTCCCTGGAGTGGGTTGTCGTCAATGACAGAGTGCATGCTTAGCATTCATGAAGCTCTGGAGTCAAGCTACAGTACCACACACACACACACACACACACCCCACAGACAGATACACACACCACACACACACACACACACCACACACCACAGACACACACACATACCACACACACACACAACACACACACACACACACACACCACAGACACACACACACACCACAGACACACACACACACCACAGACACACACACACACCACAGACACACACACACACCACAGACACACACACACACCACAGACACACACACACACCACAGACACACACACACACACACACACACACCACACACAGATACACACACACACACACACACACACACACCACACACCACAGACACACACACATACCACAGACACACACACCACACACACCACAGACACACACACACACAGTGGAAAAGGATACTTCAGTAAAAAATGAAGACATTACCACATATACTCAGAAATGGAATCAGAGGCAGGAGGATCACCACAAGTCCAAGGCCAGCCTGGGGAGAGTCACTAGCACTGAGTGCAATAGCTGTCCTATAC